GCTCAATTCCCGGGTCAAAGAGCTAACCAATGAAGACCAGGACCCGTACACTCCAGAACTGGACAAAATTTTGGCCTAAGAGTTCGCTGAAGCATTTCGTCTCATTGAAGTAGGGATTACAAACTTTCTAATACAAAGAAATTCAGCAAAGTTAATTGTACATTTATTGAGGGCCTCGCTGCTCCAAGGCCATTTATGACAAGAAAAAGAAGAACTCTGTGCACACTTCCTTGTAGCCTATTTCATGAAATTGACTCCACGGCACACAGCCACCATTATGGTGCGGCTGTAGGATAAAACCGCATAAGGTCATTTTAACTACAAGGTCAGATGTTCAAACTCATCAGCCACTCCTTGAAAACTATACAGGGTCCCTATGAGTTAGAACCGACTTGACGGCACTTCACAACAACCACAGCATTATCTGGTGGTTGTGTACTGTATTATGTTGTCCTGGTGTGACACTGTGGCTAATGCACTGGACTGCAAAGTCGGTGTGAACTGCATAGTCGGTGTCTAAGCTCACCCACTGTTCCTCAGAAACCACCCTACACAAGGGTCGTTAAGGGTCGGAACCGTCTCAACTGCACTTAGTAGCAATAACAACATGTTTCTTCAAGTTTCCTTTCAGATGATGCATATCTGATTGGAATACTTCATAGAGACATTGCGCCTTTTCCAGATAGAACATTTGGAAGCACATGGTGTCTCTTTGCCTCTTACTGGTGATGTGAATTTTGATTACTGGGTTAAGATGTTATCCATTTTCTCCATATATAGCTCCTTTTGTTTTTTTTCTTTTGTAACTAAGAAATAATTTCTAATAAATAATTCAAAACTATGCAGATATCCTGATGATCATAAAACTATACAGACTTGTGCCTGAATCAAATTTTATTCAGATGGTTGCAGGTGGTAATTTTCTAACTCCTTCCTTTCTGTTGGCATTCTAATGTAAGAAAGCGCTTCCTCTTCTCCCCCATTTACTTATGTGTTTATATACACTGACATGCCTGAGAGCTGGCACTCAACAGAATTGTTGTTTTCCTGGTCTGGCAAGTTTTCCACCTTTGACAGAATGCATTCTGACCACTTTCTGTCACTCTCCTTGCTGTTAAGTCCTATCTAGTGGATTCCATCACGTAGAGACCCTATACAGGATTTCTGAGGAGCAGCTGGGAAGTTTGAACTGCCAGCCTTGTGGTTCAAACTGACCTTATGTCCAGTGCATTATCCTTATCTTACAGGTTTCTGCATTACACAGGTTTTGGCATTTGCAGGTTTTACTGTATTATCAATATGAACTCATGGATTTTATTTTCTTGATTGCGTGATAATCCAGTACCATGCTTATTGTATTTTAATGCTTCAATTATTCCAGATTTGACCAGTGGGGAACTCTTCACACTGGCTTCCGAGCCCTCATTTGTTCAACATGTTCTCACGGTTAGTCACAAGGTGTTTCCAGCTGTGTCTTCCTTGCTCCAACCTGGAATTTGCCATTTCTTCAAAGAATCCTGATTCCTTTTCAGTGAAGAATGGATTTTAGAAACAGGGTCTGGGTCACACTCTTTTTGTACTCTGCACTTTCTAGATTAATCTTGTTGTTGTTGTTAGGTGCCATTGAGTCGGTACCAACCCATAATGACCTTATGCATAGCAGAACGAAACATTGCCCGATCCTGGGTCAACCTCACTACTGTTGTCACGCTTGAGTCCATCGAAGCTGCCACTTGGCCAGTCCATCTCGTTGGGCGTCTTCCTCTTTTTCTCTGACCCTCCACCTTACCAAACATGATATCCTTCTCCAATGACTGGTCCCTCCTGACAATATGTCCAAAGTATGAGAGACCAAGTATGACCATCTTGGCCTCTAAGGAGCACTCTGGCTGCACTTCTTCCAAAACAGATCTGTTGGTTCTTTTGGCAGCCCATGGCACTTTCAATATTCTTCTCTAACACCATAATTCAAAGGCATCAATTCTTCTACGGTCTTCCTTATTCTCTGTCCAGCTTTCGCATGCATATGAGGTTATTGAAAACACCATGGCTTGGGTCAGGCGCACCTTAGTCCTCAAGCTGATATCTTAGCTCTTCAACACTTTAAAAAGGGCTTGTGAAACAGATTTGCCTAATGCAATACGTCCTTTGAGCTCTTGACTGCTGCTTCCATGAGTGTTGATAGTTGAGCCAAGAAGTTGATCCTTGACAACTTCAATCTTTTCTCTATTGATAAGAATGTTGTTTATTGGTCCAGTGGTGAGGATTTTTGTTTTCTTTACATTGAGATGCTCTTTGATCTTCATCAGTAAATGTTTTAAGTCCTCTTCACTTTGCTAGTTCACTAGCAAACAAGGTTGTATCATCTGCATATCACAGGCTGTTAATGAGTCTTCCTCCAATCCTAATGACACGTTTTTTCTTCAATACAGCTTCTTGTATTATTTGCTCAGCATACAGGTTGAATAAGTATGGTGAAGAATACAACCTTGTCGCACAACTTTCTTAATTTTAAACCATTCAGTGTTCCCATGTTCTGTTGGAACAACTGCCTCTTGGTCCAGGTACAGATTCCTCATGAGCACAATTAAGTGTTCCAGAATACTCATACTTCGTAATGCTGTCCATAGCTTGTTATGATCCACACAATTGAAAGCCTTTGCGTACTCAATAAAACACAGGTAAACATCTTTCTGATATTCTCTGTTTTCAGCCAAGATACATCGGACATCAGCAATGATATCCCTTGTTCCACGGCCTCTTCTGAATCCGGCTTGAACCTCTGGGAGTTCTCTGTCAATGTATCATTGTAACCATTTCTATATTACATTTAGCAACACTTTACCCACATGGGATATCAAAGAGATTGTCCGATGATTTCCACATTCTGTTGGGTCACCTCTCTTTGGAATGGGCACAAATATGGATCTCTTCCAATCAGTCGGCCAGATAGTTGTCTTCCAAATTTCTTGGCAGAGATGAGTGAGTGCCTCCTGTGCTGCCTCACTTTCTTGAAAGATTTCAATATTTATTCCATCAATTCCTGGTGCCTTGTTCTTTGCCAATTCCTTCAATTCACCTTGGACTTCCTCCCTGAGTATCATTGGCTCTTGTTCATATGGTATCTCTTGAAATGGTTGAACATTAACCATTTCCTTTTGGTACAGTGACTCTGTATATTCCTTCCATCTTCTCTTGATGCTTTCTACATCATTCAATAATTTGCCCAGAGAATCTTTCAATAACGAAAGTCGAGGCTTGAATTTTTTCTTCAGTTCCCCCAGCTTGAGAAATGCTGAGTGTGTTCTGATTCCAGATCTTTGCACATTTTATTGTAATATTTAGGTCATCTTAGGGAAGGGATAATGGGGTAGATTGTCAGTAAAATCTGCTGTGATGTTACTAAACTGTATGTACTTGTGAAGATTGTTTTAAATGTCAAGGTTTTGTTACATATGCTCATATATTTACCACAATTTAAAGAAAGAAAATAAAATCAGCTATCCCATAGGTAGTTTGAACACTGGTTTTGCTTCTTAGATCTGGGTAGACATATTCTTGTAATCATATTCAAACTTATATGAGGGAGCTTTACAAAGTTTTTGGGAAAATTCCATTGTTGTTTATTCCATTTTTTCCCATGAACTTTTTAAAGCCTCCCCTCCCCCTTTACCAAATTTGTATTTTTATAGGATGTGGTGCTGTAGGATCAGCACTGGACTGCAAACCACATCAGGACAGCAGTTCATATCCCACGGCTGCTTCTTGGAAACCCTATACAGGGTCGCTATGAGTCAGAAGCACTTGAAGGCACTTTACAAGCAACAGTAAAAGAATTTCAAATAAAGCCGAGATTGCTTCCCTGTCAGAGTTTTAGTCATTTATTAGTATTTAATGCTTATTTAAAATGAACAAATGCTGCCTCATTCTTATTATGAAGAACAGCAAGTCAGAATCTTGAACCACCCTCGGGAACTGAACTCTTTAGTTTTTGGGGGGAAAATGAACAACTGTCTTGTCATGTGCATTGTAAAAGCGAATTACAAGATCAGGTAACTATAGAACAAGTGATAAGAGAGATGGTTTTGTTTTTACATTTTTAGAATCATGGAGTCTCATTTTATAGAGGTCCTTTTCATAGAAAATACCCTAAACCAAAAAAAATCCATATTTGCAGTACATTTGTGTCTATCTTTTAGGACATTTGAAGTCTTCACTAGTGCTTTGATAGGGGAATACAAGAATGTTTGCTATTTTATTGTGCGAGGGGACTTCAGAAAGTTCATGGGAAATTTTCATTACCTTTTAATTCTATTTTTCCACAAACTTTTTGTAGCCCCTGCATATACTAATGTTAATCAGCCATGAGAGTGACTGAAGCCTGATGGGTCCTGCGTTCCCCTCAGATGGGTGATCACCGTCTCTTGTCTTCCCCTTTTGTGTACACCTCATTATTTCCCATGACAGTATTTCTTTTTAATAGACTATTTTTAGAGAAGTTTTAGATTTACAGAAAAACTGCATAGAGAGTACAGAGAGTTTCCATATACTGTTTCTCTTCCAACCACAATAGTCTTTTTAACGTGCTGTATTAGGGATTTTCATTTTCAGCTTGGGGTTCTGCCGCTGCGCTCCTGGAATAAGTTTTATAGCGCATTAGGTGAGAGCAGGTCTTCATAAAGGACCGCAGTTCTTTCAAAGGAATCTTACAAGGAGATTGTAGACTCTTGATTTGTCCTCTTAAAATGGGCTAGCTCCTACTCCTTTACAGGACAGTTTCTAGAAATGGTATTGCACAAGATCAGAGAATTTCTCTCCATAGGTTTCTGAGCGCTTCATCTGTTCATGTCTGGAATTGCTGTGTGGGATTAGTTTTCCCTGTGGTTGCCAATGATGAGACCTTTGGTTCCCAAGGAACATACTCTTTTCAGAAACTCAAACTATGCAAGAGTTCTGTTTTCACACCCAGAATTACTGACCAGTTCACTTTTCCCTTCTAGAAATGACCCTCCTGTCATCCCAGTCTTCATCACTGGTGGCCCCTTCTGTGTCTGTGTCCACTGAAAACCCACAGCAGAGGATGTTGGAGAAGAGAACCAAGGTTGTGGAGGAACTTCTCCAGACAGAAAAAGACTACATCCGGGATCTGGAAATGTGTATTGACCGCATCATGGTACCCCTGCAGCAGGCACAGGTGGGGACTATTAGAAGGTTAGCTTTTCTTCAGGAGGTGGTCTTCCAAGCTTATGGATATGAGAGCTTTCACCACAGAGATTTATTGGATTATAAATAAAGACTTTATCTGCTGCGCCTGCCTTTAATTCAAGGGTCTCAGAATGTATATCAGCAGTTTAAGCCTTAAGCCTCCTATCTTGTCCACATTAACTTACCAGACTTACTGCAAGAACTCCCAGGAGATTCCCTATTTCTGTGGTTTCTGAAAACTTGGGAGCAGTTGTAGGGAGTCTACATGGTTGCTTTATTGGGAAGACCGTGTGATAATATAATGAAGTCTGGGGATAATGGGTTATCTAGTGGCTCTGATACTTGATTGTAATTTCATTCATTTGCTCAGGGAACTCTTAACCATGTGTACATGCTAGGATCTTCCTAGATGCTGGAGACTGTGTCTTAATAAAGACAGTAAATGCCTTTATTACCTGTGGACTCTTGGAGCAATCACTCCCAAGTTCTTCTGTAGGAAGTGGCCAGTGCCATCCAATTTTTTGTGCTACATGGGTATTTCTAGCATAATTGTAGACCAGATTGGTTCTGTACTCAGTTTGTTAAGGTTGTGCAGAAAGTAGTTGGATCTAGGTCAAAGGGTGACGCTAAAGATGATGTTAGATGTTTTCATTCTGCAGATAACATGAGGGAGAAGTGAAGAAGATGACCTTGAGCAACTTTTGTAAAGTCTTTGCAGAGATGTTTCTGGTGTGAGTGATTATGGCATTAATTTCATATTCACACAGCTTTATGTTTTGCTTCCCTTTCTCAGGTCCCGAACATTGATTTTGAGGGTCTTTTTGGAAACATGCAGATGGTGATTAAGGTCTCGAAGCAATTACTGGTTACTCTGGAAAACAGCAGTACTGTAGGTATGAACCTCCTGCTGGTCTGTCAGAAGCAGCTTTACAAACTCCACTGAAGGGAAGAAGGTCTTTCGTGGTACTGAGTATATATACTAGGAAAAGGAAGTTTTCGTTTTGAGTTCAGAGGTCATGTGCCCCTCTGCTGCTCTGAGGTGAATGACTGATGATTGCAGTCTGGGATCATCCATTCAGTGGGTCAAACTCAGCATAAATATTTTTTAATAAAATGGAAAATACCAGAATGCACTGCAAGTAATAAGCATAATAACTATTTTTTTGAAACTTTTCTTTCAAGTCTATGCATATGTATACTGAGTTGTAATTTTAAAGGTATTTGTGGGAGTCATTGTCAGAAATGCTTTAAAAGCAAACATCTGGTTCGTTATGTTTGCTGTGAATCAGAACCGACTTGACGGCACTTAGCAACACCCTTAGCAACACCCGTTCTTTATGAATTAGGACAATAGTAGTTATCCACTGCTGTGTAACAAATTAGCACGAACACGTATCTTCTCAGGTTTTGTGGGTCAGGAGCTGGGCGTGGCATGGCAGGCTACTTTTGGCTCAGGGTCTCGGGAGGTTGCAGCAAGTTGTTGGCCTGGGCTTCGGTCATCTGGGACTTGAGGATCTGCTCCCAGGAAAGATCATTCACATGAATGTTGTAGGTCCCAGTTCCTTTGTCATGTCAGCTCTTCCTGACATGGCCTCCACTTTTCCCAGAGTAAGTGCCCTTGATGGTCGACGCAGAAATAGCACACCATCACTTCTATCATAATCACGTGCAGGCCACTCATGGTACAGTTGGGATGGCTCTACATCCTACCATTTTGCTATTTTATTTGGGATCAAAGTAGCATAGTGGCGGCCACCACTCCGTCTTTCCCACTACATACTCGACAGCATCCAACAGCATGGAGCACGCCCGCATTCTCCAGGGCTCCTCCAACAAATTTATTATTTCGCATTGGCCACAAGTGGGTCACCTGCATGAAAAGGAATGGGGTCATCAGTGGTGCTGACTTAGCCCCAGAAGCCTGTGTCTGAGTCACAGACACAGAGAAGTGGACAGAAGAACCAAGTCCAGCCCCTGGCCATCTGAAGGAAGATAACAGATAGTGCAGTCATGTTAATGTTTCTTGAGTATTTCCTATATACTAAGCACTCTTTCAGTTGTTGCCTACACAAACCCATGAGGTTTAGGTATTATTCATCTTATTTTACAGAGAAGGCAACTTAGACGCAGAGGCAAAGTAATTTGCCCAAGGTCACATGGTTAATAATTGATGTTGTTTTTGTTGAGTGCTGTGGAGTCGACCCTGTGTAGAGTTTCCAAGGAGCAGCTGGTAAGCTTGAACTACTGAACTCATGGCTCAAACTGACTTTGCAGTCCAGCATTATCTCATAGTGCCACACCAGGGCTGCAGTAATTGCTCGGACTAGCAGTCAAACTGTGCAGAATTCAACTAGGCATCCAGCGCTGTGCTAGACACTTTATGAAATGGTAGAGAAATGAGCCTGGGGTCCTTGCACTTAGTCTCACCTGAAAGGTCAGGGAGATTTCGGAAAGAGAAGTGTGTAGGGGGAAGACGCAGTTAGATGGTAGCACAATGCTGGCAACTTCAGCCTTGTTCATTCAGAAGGCCAGGCAGTGCATCAAACAGGAAATTAACAAAGGGGGTTTGAACACTGCTGAGGGATGCTTGTGGAAGCAAATTAAAGCTCTTTTGAACCATTAGCAAAGGGCAGATGGATGTGAATTGTATAAGCTTCCCTAGAAAGGTTTTTGTTTTGTTTGTTTGAATTTACTTTATTTAAGAAATTTTAAATTTAACTTATTTTTAATACATTCACATGGTACAAAGATACAACAGATATTAAATGAACAGTCTCCTACCCATCCCCTGGCTGCCCCCGCTGCCCCAGTTTTTCACAACCAGTGTTACCCAGTTAGTCTCCTTCCAGAGATAATTTATTATACCAACAACAGCATTTTTCCCTCTATCTTAGCTCCCCACCCCATTTTTTAAAAATCACACAAATGGTAGCACTCTATTCAAATTGTTCTGCACTTAGCTTTTTTCTCTCAACAGTAGGCCTTCCAAGTGGTTTGTATGCTCAGTAAGAGAGAAAGGAAAAAATGTAAAGGATGTCAAAGACGATGAGTAGATGTTGGGGAAAGCGGCATTGAATTAAATCGAGAGGGATTCTAGTCTAGCCTGAACAGGGTCTGGTGGGAAGGGAAGGAATGTTAAGTATTGTAGGCTTGAATGAGTTCGAAGATGAAGAGGACCAGGAGACCCTGAATATATAAATAAAGCCTAAGGGAATTGCTTTTAAATTATTTTAAACTTACCCTACAGAAATAAACATTTTACATAATAACTCAGTCCACATGTTTGTAGGTGGATGGGTGTAAGATACATGCATATACAAGTATAACTGAAACAAGGTCATGAGACAGTGCGTTCAGGTATTTTCTTTTCTATGCCATTCTCTAAGGAACCCTGGAAGTTCAGTGGGTTATACATTAGGCTGCTAATCACAGGGTCAGCAGTTTGAGTTCACCAGCCGGTCTGAGGGAGAAAGATGAGACAGTCTGTTCTTGTGACGATTCTTATAGCCTCGGAAACCTTATCCAGGGTCACTGTGAGTCGGAACGGACTGCACAGCACACAGTAGGGTCACGATGAGTCAGAAGGGACGGGACAGCACGCGGCAGCTTGCCATTCTAGTTCGTAATTTTAACAAGTGCTGATCATGACCCATGATCTAGGATTCATGACTCATCTCATGGGTGTGTTGCAGGTTGAAAGACACAATTAAGATACAGCTATGCTGGCTTGTGGTTGATCCAGAATAGTCACTGTCAGGAAAGTTGACGGGCAGTGAGTCAAGCCAAGCGATCTGTCATTGTGCCGTTTCTAAGAATGCTGGAAAGAAATAGTGTCAACTCGTTACCACAGGCTTTGCCGTTGAATCCATTCAAATTCCTGGTGACTCTTTAAGACAGAGCAGAACTACCCCATAGGGTTTTCTACACAGCATCGTGGTCACGAGTCGGGTTGCTAACCTGAAGGTCAGCAGTTCGAAACGACCAGCTGTTCCGCAAGAGAAAGATGAGACTTTCTGCTCCCGTAAAGATTTACAGCTTCAGAAACCCTGAACTGATTCCATGGCACAGAACCACCACCACCACCCACCAATCCGTACAGAAGCAGACAGCCTTGTCCTTCTCCTCTGGGAGTGGCTGGTGTGGCGAATTAACCTTTTGGTTAGCAGCTGAGCACTTAAACACTGTGTCGCCAAGGCTCCTGGGAAATAGCGTTGTTGTTGTTGTTAAGTGTCATTGAGTTGGTTCCAACTCATACAGACCCTGTATAGGATTTCTGAGTGGCTGGTGGGTCTGAACTGCTGACCATACAGTTCAAAGTGACTTTGTGGACCAGGCCTTTATCCTATAGCACCACACAAGGAAGGGATAATATAGACAGGCAAATGCCATCTATCAGTTTCTTATTGGGGGGATTGTAAGATTTGTATTACGGTTTTTAAATGAATTATTCAAATCTTTGTAAAACATATGCCATTCGGGCTGTTACCATGACATCTCTTTATAATTTATCTTCTGCCTTCTGCTTGCATCATTCTCACAGCTACAGATGTCAGTAAATTATATATTGTGTATTAATCTTTCTTTATATCCATTTTTTCCCAGGATTGATACCATGGCTAAAAACTGCTTTCTGTGTTTAATTTAAAATAAGAACTTCCTGAGTCAATAATTATAAATGGTCTTCCGTTAAGTTGTAAGAAGTTACATTCTAAAAAAATTTACAAAGCATTTTAGTGACTCATAATCTAGTTTAGTAAAACACTGTAGTAAATTGGAGGCATTTTAGATGAAGAAACAAGTAGTCAATTATAATAATTATTGAAGACTCAAGTGTTAATTCACTTTTATATCTCTTAATCTGATGACATAATATTTTCACTCAGCCAATGAGATAAAATCAGATACTATGGTGGAAAGAATCTCAAATTCTCCCTCATTAAACTTTATATTCTCTGAAGCCAGGGATATGCCTTACTTTATATGTCCGTAGCACTGGTAGTATCGTGGTTACGAGTTGGGCTGCTAACCTCAAGGTCAACAGTTTGAAACTATCAGCCATTTCATAGGAGAAAGACAAGGCTTTCTGCTCCTGTAAAGATATATAGCCTCAGAAACCCTATGCAGGGTCGCTGTGAGTCGGAACCAACTTCACAGCACACCACCACCTCCACTATGTCAGGTTGGTAGGTTTTATTGTTGTTGTTAAATGCCGTCGAGTCAGTTTCAACCCATAGCGATCCTGTATAGGGTTTCTGAGAAGCGGCTGGTGAGCTTGAACCACTGACCTTGCAGATCAAACCGATTTTGTAATCCAGCGAATTTACCCACAGTGCCACACCAGGACTCCTGGTAGGTGTAGAGACGTTCAGTAAATAGCCACTGAATAAATACATTTAGCTTAATTTGTTTTCATGTCATTTAGAAAGGAGTGAAAGTAAAACACCAAATATCCTGTTAACTCAGCAGTATTGTTTTCATTATCAACAAAGCACACCAGTTTGTAGATTACCTTTTATGTTTTATTAATGGTGGCATATACCAAAAATGTAATACATACCAATTACCTTTAGCCCTTTATAAACAGTCTTAAGTACTTTTTTTTTTACAAACACAATTCATACTGTCAAGCTATACAAAAAGCTAAAACAGAAAAATAGGATTTTTAAAAAATAAAATGCATAAAAACTTAATATATTGTGATGGGACACTGAGCTGGCTTTTAACATTCTAATTATAACTAAATACAGACCTTTACCAAGAGGCTGATAATTCTACAAAGTCCTTCTAAGAGAAGATTTATGATTAATGGCCAGATTAGCATACCCAAACTTTTACATTGTTTAATATATATATATATTTGGAGTCCATAAATACAAGTAGAAGATTATAAAACTTTCTTAGATACACAAAAATCTTTTGAAAAATTAAGTATTCAGATTGCCTTAAAGATCCATTTCTTGAATTGAAAATTGCCGAGGCCTCCAAATATTACCTTTTCCTGTCTTCGCTGCCTGGATTGATCTGGAGGCCAGACTGCACCTTCCTGCAGGCCTTCTCCTTCCTGCAGGCCTTCTCTTTAATGGCATCACTGGCACATATCTTTGATGTTTCCTAAATACAGTGACAATCGAGACATTTTTACAGCTGTCACTGTATCTCTAAGATCCAAAGAATAAAGGTTGGTATTTGGCGGTGTTTAATATCTGGATGCTTCAGAAGGGTATCAAGTTCTTATTTGGCCACAACCGTTCTTAATCTACCCCTACTATCAAAGACAAAAATAATGGCTTGTCCTTTATATTAGTGTTCCCAGAGATTTCTGTATTCTCCTTGTCCTGACATTCAAAAGACTGTAGCAGACAAGCTGGATGATTTGAACTTTTCTGTGTTGAATCCTGTTGTTGGAACTATAGAGATTGAGCATTTGAAGGTATAAGCTTGCTAATGATTGTTATTTTGCCACTGTTGTCCAGCCCAAGGCACAAAACATGAAACTTTCTTCTTCAGGCCAAGCAAGCGTGACAGTTTGTCTAGCAAGCCTGTTGTTGTTATTGTTAAGTGCTGTCAAGTTGGTTCTGACCCATAGTAACCCTGTAGAGGGTTTCCAAGGAGTGGTTGGTGAGCTTGAGCCACCTACCTTAGGGTTCAAACTGACTTTGCAGTCCAGCCCATTAACCCACAGTGCCGCACCAGGACTCCCAACAATTCCATAATGTAATTCAGATATTTACAAAGCAACCATATCCAGATCTGTGACTGAAATCTGGTTGGTGGGGTCCCTCAACCTCCCTTTTTAAACTGACATTGGCAGGAAGGACCCCTGGTCTCAGGCAGTTCAGTGAACTGCTCTATTAGTTTCTGACGTCTCTCATCATATCTTTAATTATGATGGCTATCAGCCCACATGTTCCATTTGTTAGAGGCCTGGTGGCACTCTAGGATAAGCACTGGACTACTGACTATAGATTGGCAGTTGAAGCCCATCAGCTGCTATGCAGGAGAAAGATGAGGGTCTCTGCTTCCTGATTTACAGCCTTGGAAGCTCTGTAGAGGGCCATTATGATTTGGAATCAACTCAGTGGCAGTAAGTTTTTAGTTTTTTTGTTAAGTGCATATGTTATTATAGCATAAATTGGCCTTTTTATTTTTAACGTATGGTGGTGGTGGTGGTTATGTGCCATGGAGTTGATTCTGACTCATAGCCACCCTGCATAGCATTTCCGAGAAGCAGCTGGTGAGCTTGAATTCCCAACCTTGTAGTATAAAAAAACTTGGCAGGCCAGCACATTAAACCACAGTGCCACACCAGGACTCATTTTTAATGTATGTTGTTGTTGTTGTTAAGTGCCATCGAGTCGGTTCCGACCCATAGTGACCCTGTACAGGGTTTCCGAGTGTGTAAATCTTTACAGGAGTAGAAAGCCTCGTCTTTCTCCCGCAGAGCGGCTGGTAGTTTCAAACCGCTGGCCTTAAGGTTCGCAGCCCGATTCGTAACCACTACGCTACCAGAGCTCCTTTGTCATTCTATGTATATTGAATTTATGCACAAAGAAAAGGTTGGAACCTATTTGCCATAGAAGAATCTCTTTAGCTCTGTGGGGATTCTCCTGGGAATCAGCAAGCTGAAGGGTCTTTGCAAGGTGCCTATCACTTGCCCGGTAAGGAGGATGCTTATAAATGCCTAACTCTGGCTGGCTGAATGGGTGCAGAACCTCTGCTGCAGAAACCAGGTGTTTTGTACAAGCTCCAAATCTTGTTTAGAAAACTGAAAAATACATAAATGGTCTTTTGACTTTTGCTTCAAGTAAGTAGAACTTTTAAGCTGTCACCAGGGAATGTCTTTGTGTGGAAATCACTTTTTCTTGTGATGGAATGTCAAGTTTGGACCAGTCACTGGAGAAGGATATCATGTTTGGTAAGGTGGAGGGTCAGAGAAAAACAGGAAGACCCCCAACCAGATGGATTGGCCAAGTGGCAGCGTTGATGGACTCAAGCGTGGCAACAGTAGTGAGGTTGGCCCAGGATTGGGCAGTGTTTCGTTCTGCTGTGCATCTGACTTGATGGCACCTAACAATAGCAACAGCTATCTTATGTTTGGGGTCCTCAATTTAAGGACCTTAGAATTTAATTAAAGAGGAGAACGCTACTAAAAACATTATATGTTTGTTTATATTTCAAAGGAACTGCATTCCTTGATCACCGGGATGAGCTTGAGGAAACGTACAAGGCTTATTGCCAGAATCACGATGAGGCCATCTCACTGCTGGAAATCTACGAGAAGGATGAGAAGATCCTGAAGCATCTGCAGGACTCCTTGGCGGATCTGAAGTAAGAGATTTGACCATTTGTGTTCATCATAGCTCTAATTCTACCTTCTAGAAGTCACCCCATGTAGATGTGCAGACTTCTTAGAGCATTGATAGCACTATCTTATTTATTTATGTATACTTCAAACAAAAGTGATGTCGCACTGTATAATCTGTGTCACTAGCCCCATTCTCCTAATAGGTCCTGGGAATGCTAAGTGGTTTGGTGATTGTACTTTTTTTTTTTTAACTTTTTATTATGAATTGAGTGACGGTTAGCAGACGAGATCAGCTTTACATTCAACAAACTACACACTTTGTTTCATCTCAGTGATTGCCACCCCCTCCCTGACAAACCGTTTTCTGACTTCTTCCCTGTGGCTTCCCTTTTACATCTTATATTTCACAAATGAACGAAACAAAAATATTTGTACACATAGAAAACAAAAATATATATATTCATGAAAAGTACTAAGGACATAGTCTGCAAGCCTGTCTCCTGCCCTCGCCTGTCTCCTGCCCTCAGGCACACAGCATTGCTCAGGCCATGGGCCTAGAGTCCACAGCCACCCTGTCTCCCCGCCATCACCTCAGCCACTGTCTCTGCTGTCACCACTTTTCTAGGTAGGATCGCCTGCTCATCTTTCTTCACAGTCCTGGGATCATCTGTCCTAAAATGAAGGACGAACTAATCCATCCTTTTAGTTACACATCTTCTACCATTACACTTGTGACCATCACAATTCATCCTGCTAACAGTTACTCACACTTAAATCATAAAATCCTGTCACCATTACTACCCGCCTCCTTTCACCAGCTCCATCTGGAAAAGGGCAAATCAATTCCATGGGGATTTCACCTTACCTCCCTTATTCTGAAACTGCACACTCATGAAAGCCAGCCACTTTGTGCCTTTATAGCCCCCATTGTTGATAGCCAATGTCTAGATTGCCTGTCCCCACCAACTCAGTGCATTGAGGGAACAAGCTTGATCCATGGTAAGAATCCTTCATTCTGGTCAGAATTTCGAGCAACTGCATCCATAAGTACTTACACTTTTATCCACTGAAAACTCACTCTTATCTGTACACACGAAGTATAAGTTAGCATTTTCAGGTACGAAGCTCCCAGAAAGATCGTTTTGGTTCTCCTGGTCTTCAGGAGGCTGGGTACAAGGTTGTGTAAGTGGCTCAGAGTGAAAGGAACCCTGATGACTTGGTAGTTAAAGCGCGCCCCTCTGGTCACCCACCACCACTCTGCAGGAGAAAGGTGTTCCCCGTCGGCTTACCCTATAGGACTACTCTACTCTGTCCTTACAGGGAAACTGAGTCACAATTGACTCAGTGGACATGGGTTTGGTTTCGGGGTCTTTTAAATCAAAGTAAAGTTAGGGGCTTATGCTGATGCTTTTTTTAAAGTAGTTTTTTAAGTAGATGGCTCACCATACAATCAACAACCATCAGTTAGCGTCAAGTCGATTCTGACTCATGGTGAGCCTATGTGTGTCAGAGTAGAACTGTGCTCCAGAGGCTAGTCAATGGATGCTGTTTTGGAAACAGATCACTAGGCATCTTTTCCAAGGCACCAGTAGGTGGACTTGAACTTCCAACCTTTCTGTTAGCAGTCGAATGAGTTAACCATTTGTACATATACGTATTCACACTTTCTCTCTTATCCCACGTGACTTCTGTACCCAGTTAATAGGTGTGCTCTGAGAATGTGGAAGTCAGCAGCATCTCTCTAATCCATTGTCTCTTTGCTTTTCATGTTGTCTGCCCTGTAGGAGCCTGTACAGTGAATGGTAAGTTCTCTTACTACCTGATGTACAAACTCATTTCTTCAATAGATGTTTCCTAATCCTTAATAGACTAGCTTTATTTTCTTCCTTTACAGACAGAAACATAGAAGTAGAATTCTCTTGCTGTATCTTTCTCCATAGCATTTGCCACCACATGTATATATTTGTTTGATTGTTTATTGCCCATCTCCTACTATCAGCGCAGGGGCTTTTTTGGTCTCTATTAAATCCCTAGAACCTGGAACAGTACCTTGTATTTATTGTTGTAGCTGTAGTTAAGTGCTTATCCTATAGCACCACATCAGAACTCCTTTTACTTATTGTTGTTAAGTGCTATTGAGTCATTTCCAACTCATAGCAACCCTGTACAGGGTTTCCAAGGAGCGGCAGGTGAGCTTGAACCACCGACTTTGTGGTTCAGACTGACCTGACGATCCAGTGCTTTATCCCACAGTGCTACACCAGGACT